GTGGTGAATACATCACATTGGTGGGCAGAAGAACTTCTATAAAACGGAAGGAGACTGCGACCATACTACAAACCACGCCATCTTGGTCTTCAAACCTTTGATTAAAATGGCTACAGTTCTTCTTCCACATGACGCATGAGAGGCATCAGGTCGGCCTCTGTGCCAAGTTCCAGTTCCGCTCGGGTTCAGGGTGTACATGATCTCGCAGATTGGAGGCAGCAACCCTCAGTGGCCAACTCCTCCGACGAGACCCGAGCATGTTGGAGCATTTTCAAGCTGAAGGGAACCTGCACCCCAGTGTCTGCTCGTCTACACATGCAGATATAAATGTAAGCACATGAATATATGCCTGTCCACATATTTGTCTGTCTGTTTGTCAGCCTGTGCGGCTGTATGTATTTCGGCGAAACGCTTAACCACATGACGACCGACCTGTTCATCTCTTCGGCCTTGGGATGAAACGAGTCTCGCAGCTGACAAGTACTTCATGCAATAAAGGCTCAGGAGGCCGGTTGCTTTGAATGTGTGTGTATGTGTGTGTGTGTCTGTCTGTCTGTCAGGCACTGTTGCACGTACAAGCTGGGCTGCGGGGGTCGCGGTGTTGTTGGTAGTCTGAGAAATCGCGGTAACTACGTCCACACGACTGCGTCAGCCTATTGCCTGTAGCGTCGTGGTGCCAGCCAATGCCGGAGCCCAGAGCCGGGCAGACGTGACTGGAACTGGCCGAGCCAGTTGCAATGCCAAAGTGACGCCGTTGTCCAGTGGAATGGCAGCGCAGTCTGACAGGACAGTCTTACTCGTCCTCCCGACACTCGGTGCATCCAGCCTCACCGCCCGGTCGGCCCAGGCTACACTTGGCCCAGTTGCCACGACGCCTCTCGCCTCCACTTCCGCCTCGACCGCCGACGCTCCGTCCGCCAACTCCACCTGCCCCACCTCGACAGACCCTCTTCACGGGGCTCTCTCCCGACTTCCGTGGCGCCACATCACCGACTTCACCGGCCTCACTTTGCATGACCTCTGACCTCTGACCCTGCGTCAGTATAACTCACACACACACACACACACACACACTGACATAAATACACACACGCATATACATGCATACATAGAGACAGACAGACAGACAGATAGACTGCGGGACTCGGTATCGTTCGAGCCTCGCCCCATTTGCCGCCAGTTGACATGGCAGTAAGTGGGCATGGCGCCGCTGGAAAGCTGTCTCGAGGACCAGATCGGCAGCCGGGATGAGTTGAGAACATGCGTGAACGACTGAATCGCAAAGAAGATATTCTGCCGTTCAACTAGACAGCCGAACAGTCTGAGTAAGTGGTACCATCCCTTTGGTACAGACATTTGTGGGAACCTCATTGGGGAACTTCAAGCTGATTTGATAAAATGTGATAAAGGACTGACGGTTGCATTTTCCGTTGGTGAGTAAATCAGTAATATGAGATGTAATCACCTTATTTCGTTTAAGGTAATGAAGGACTGGTCGTTCAATCTGCCCACAATGACATGG